GGAGCGCACCCTAAAGGTAAAACGAAGGCCTGTGGCTCTCGGAGCGCTGGCCCCCCCGCTCCCTAAGCGGTGCCACATCGCGTGCCCGGAGGTCCCGCCCGCTCTACGCGTCCTCGGGTCTTGGGCCCCTTCTCAGCCCCCCACCCCGGGGCGCTCAAGCCGCCTCACCGGCTTCTGGGCGGCGCCCGACAACACGCGGGAGACGGCGGCGAGCATCTTCCTCATGGACTGAGGGCAGTAAGAACAGCTGCAGCGGCGGCGACTACCACCGACACAAACCGCGCGACCCAGATGTCTCCAAGTCTCCTTCACCGGCCGGGAGCGGACGGCACGCCTTAACCACAGCGCTACGTGACAGTGACGGAGAAACGTCATACGCCGCGCCGGGCCGCGGGCCAACCGGGACGATTCCTGGGGCATGCCCCGCCCACCTGAGAAGCCCGCAGCCGCCCATTGGGTGTCGGCGCCAGAGGGGTAGAATATGGGGGGGCTCTCCTTCACCCCGCGCCCGGTGAGTGTGGAGCCACGGATCCGAGAGCGCATGCGTTGGGAAGTGGGGTCCCGCCTCCAGAGCCCCGCAGAAAAAGAGCCTTTTTGGATCTAGGACCAGAGATCAGCCGTGCACGATTGGAAGTCGTGCAGAGCAGTCTTACAGTGCGCCCAGTCCTGTCGGTGCTGCCTTCGCTCAATACATGAGATGATAAAGATTAATAGCATGGTCGGGGCCAAAAGACAGAACGTTAACTTGTCTTTAAGAGATCACGTAACAATTGTTAAATGCTACCCTGTCTACTTGAGCTAGGATCCAAATATCGGTTTCTCAAGTAAATGTTGAGAGGTTAGTGGGAAAAGTCTTTGGCTCTAATTATTGATACACATACTCAACGTGAGTTAACAGCATGACACGGCTGATGATAAAAGCACAAAGAAACAAATGTGAAAACAACTCCAGGGTCTCTTCAGAGCAGTTCCCAGGTCAAAGCGCTAATTGTGCACTAGCGGAATTTGCACCTGGGGTACTGGGCTCAGATTTGGGCTCCATGTTTTAAGGAAGTGTGATGAGAAGACAGCTATTTTGAGTCGCTTCCCGGGCATTTTACAGCACGACAACCATGCTTACACCCAGAGTCTGTACATTTAGATAAGGACCTGAGTTTAGGATTCCCACCACAAGTTCTTGCTTTGGTTTTCCTGGGGCACCTTTTAAACTAACCAGAGTTGAGCCTGCGAAAAGTTACTGACCTCCGCCTCAATCACCTTATAATAAGTGCTTGCTACCCTGCTCTCTACCTTCTGCTCATTCATGACCTGGGACAGAGGACTGCCCTTCCCCTGGCTCTTGGGGGACGGGGGCGCGGGGGGAGGTTGCGGCGGGCATTTTCCGGGATCTGTAAGTAATAAATCTTGTGACTTTACTTCTTTTGTGTGAGTGTATTGCGCTTTCAATCAAAACGACCCGGGGTTTTTCACTTCCCTATAAAGTGAGAACTCGGATGCTGAAGGAGCTACCTGCTGACCCCATGTGGATGGCTTGTGTCTCCTCATTCAGCAGGTCGTAATCTGCATATCTTTAATTTAATATACCAGCTATGAGACCTCCTACACAGGGGAATGACAAAAAACGTGTGGTGAGGGGCTAAAATCGTGACTTGCGAAAAATGATTACAGGAGTTAGAAAAAAGGCACACTAACTTAGGGTGAGCTAGGTTATGTTTTAGCAATCGACCTTCACATTTCAGTCACTTTGAGAACTTGAAGTGATACAAGTCACCTTGCTCATATTACTGGTCCCTCACAGTTTGGCTGGAGCTCTGCTTCATGTCATCTTCACTCTGGAACCCAGACTAATGGAGCAGCCTCAATCCAGAACTTAGCTTGTCTCATGGTAGAGGGAAAAGGAATCGTTTAAACTGCTTCTCAAAGCTTCTACCCAGAAGTGATACATATCACTTTCAATTTCCATAGACCAGAGCTAGTTACCCAACCACGGCTGAGTTCAAAAGGATGAGGTATAACCCTCCTGCTGGGAGACAGACGGGGAAATGGGATGAATTGTAAAGCCACAGAGGATTAGCTTGGTCTTCACACATTTTCAGACCTGTAATGTTCCAGGAGGAAGAGCTATTGTGTGCTTGTGTGTAAGTAAAATGATTTCAGTTCATTATAACGATGAATTTTCTAACAATGAGAACTGTCCAGTGAGATAATTCCCTGCCGGCATCACCAAAAGTGTTCAAAGAAGTAACCCAAAGCATGACCAGTTGTCAGAATGGCTAGAGAAAGGATTTGGACACTCGCAGACACCTGGACTGAAAAACCTTGTTGACTCCTTCCATCTCTATGACCTGGTTGCGGTGAGAAAAACGTGCCTTAAAGGAGCGAGATGGGGCTGTTAAAAGGAAGGGCTGGAAGTGAGATCCACTGCACAGCATGGCTTCAGCAGATGCTGCTGGCGATTGAATGTGGAGGATGAAGAAAAGGGAATGAAAAGAGTTGGAGGCCAGAAGAACCTGGTTTGGATTATTTGGGACATGTTGATCTGGTGGTAGTAGTGGGACAGGTATCTGAAGATGTCCCCTAGAAAGGTGGAGTTGTAAGTCTGGAACGTATGGCTGAAAATATGAATTTTGGAGTTATACGCATAGGGATCATATTGGTTGTATATGTCCAGGAGCACTGTAGGACATATGGACATAAATTCATTCATTCAACACATTTATTGGTGATGTATCAGGTACATATCAGGCACCAGGAGGGGACAAGTGAGCAGAGACCTGAATGCAATCAGGGAGCAAACTATGCGAAGATCCGGAGGAAAGCTTTTCAGACAGAAGGATCAACAAATACAAATACCCTGAGGTGGAAAAAAAACTTTGTATATTAGAGAAATAACAAGAAGAGCAAGTGACTCTAGTGGCATTAAGGAGGCAGAAAGTGATATGAATTAGAAAAGAGACCAGAACAGGTAGGGATTTAGTGGGGGTTTTTTTTCCCCCTTTTTCTTGGTAGGAAACTGAATTTTGTTTTAAGTGGGATGAGAAGCCATTGGAGGGATGGGAGCAGGGAAATGACGTGATTTAATTTCTGTTTCCATTGGACATTTAAAACCATTCTGACTGCTGAGTGAAGATTTGACCACATGGGAACAAGAGTTCCCTTAGTGCTTATTTGTTCTTTGAGTTCCGAGTAGCTTCTGTTTCCTTTAGGGGCACTCACAGTTATAGACAGATTGGATGTGAGCTGTTCTTTGCTTCATATTTACAATAAGTAGAATCCTACACGTTCTGTGTGTCATCACTACCTAAACACTACAGGGATTTAAGATGTAGGATTCTACGAGAAGAACAATAGATTAGGTTATGTTGCAGTGAAACATTAACCTTAATTATCAGTGGATTACTACAACCGACATTTATTTTGTACTCATGTCCAACATGGATTGGCCAGGGACTCCCTCTACGATGTCACTCAGGAACCCAGGATGACAGATGCACTAATATTTCAGTATGTGACCTCCATGATCAATGCAGCAGGGAAGGAGAGAGTTCAGACATGTCTCATGATGACTCTAAAACGCTTTGGCTGAGAGTCCCCTATCCCTAGCACACAGCCATTGAAATGGCAGTTTGGCGAATCATTCTGCCATCTAGTAAGCCATGCCCTCTCTAACAAGGGGGCTCTTCTTTGGGTGCTCTTTTCTCAGCCCATCCAGCAGTAGCTGCTTCTTATATCTGCTATTCCTATATCTTTTGAGTTCTTTTTATCTCTTCTCCCTCCTACTCCAGCTCCTTATTACAGGCATACCTTGGAGATATTGTAGGTTTGGTTCCAGACCATCATAATGAACTATTACAATAAAATGAGTTATAACCTTTTTGCTGGTAGAGGGTCTTGCCTTCAGTTTGTTAAAAAAAAAAAAAAATGCAACACCTGTGAAGTGCAAATAAAGCAAAGCGCAATAAAACAAGGTATGCCTGTATTTGAGTGATAAAATAAATGATAGTAGTAGATTGTAACCCATAGAAGAACATAAATATCCATGCGTTCATATGAACATAAACACATAATTGAATAAATAAGTGAGGGGAAAAGGACAACTTTTTATCACAGTAGAATTCCAATTAATTAATATTAGAAGTAATGACGGAAATAGAAAAAAAAATCACCATTTGGCAAAGACCACAGTAATAACTGTTGCAGGCCAGAATGACCAATGAAGGCTAAAATTAGAGGGTAAACTAAGATGATGAGAAACAGTATATTTGCATACTCTCCCAGTATCGCCTACAAAATATCGATTAATTACAGAGGTTAAAATAGTAACTTCACAGTGGAGAAACAAAGTAATCCAGGTTTTAATTACTAGGATATTTTCTTTGCACCCTTTTTCTTGTCAGAAATTTCAAAGCCAGAGTTGGATGTAAACTTGAAGGTGAGGGAAGCTTCAGGTATTGCATGAGTGGTGACAGGTTAAGGTTCGAGTTAACGATCATTGGCTATGGGCCCCAGCAATGTCATCTGTGCTAGAACATTAACAAAGGACTCTTGCATCTGGAGGTGAGGAGGCCAGGAGGATGGAGAAACAATTGCAAAAGGCAGGGATCTGAGAAAAAGAAAGTCTTAAGGGAAAGGAAAGAAGTGTTGGTGAGGATCTAAACAAAGAGAATCCACGTGCCCCGTTGGTGGGAGTGTAAATTGGTGCAGCCACTATGAAAACAGCAGAATGTCTTGGAAAAATTGAAAATAAAACTACCTTATGACCCAGCAATTCCATCTGTGGGTATCTATCTGAAGAAAACGAAAACACTAAGTCGAAAAGATATCTGCACCCCCATGTTCACTGCAGCATTATTTACAATAGCCCAAACATGAAGGCAACCTAAGTGTCCATCAATGGATGAAGAGATAAGGAAGATCTGGTATATATACTATGGAATATTATTCAGCCATAAAAAGGAGGAAATCTTGCCACTTGTGACAATGGATGGACCTTGAGGGCATTGTGCAAAGTGAAATAAGTCAGATGGAGAAAGACAAATATTGTATGATCTCACTTATATGTGGAATTTGAAACAAACACCCCCCCCTCACACACACATACAAAAAGAGTTCGTAGGTATAGAGAACAAATTGGTGGTCTCCAGAGGTGGGGGGAGCCACGGGGCAAAATAGGCTGAGTCCAAAAATAAAAACTTCCAGTTATAAAATAAAATGCTACGAGGATGTAATGTATAGCACAGTGACTATAGTTAACAACACCGTATTGCATATTTGAAAGTTGCTAAGAGATCTTAAAAGATGTCATCACAAGAAAAAAATTATAATACTATGTGGTAACCAACGTTAACCAGACTTATTGTAGTGATCATTTTGCAATGTATAGAAATATCAAATCATTATCTTGTACATTTGAAACTAATATAATGTTAAATGTCAATTATATCTCAATTAAAAAGAAAAAGAATAATTTCATTTCTTAAAGGAAAATAAGCTTTGACAGTCTCTGTAATAATGGTAGGAAGGAAGGAAGGAAGGAAGGAAGGAAGGAAGGAAAGAAGGGAGAGAAAGAAAGAGAGAAAGAAAGGGAGGAAGGGAGAGAAAGAAGGGAGGAAGAAAGGAAAGAGGAGGGCTTCGAGGTTTGGATGGGCTCTTCCCTCCATCGCTAGCCAGTTTAGGATCAGCTTCTCCAAGTGAAGCCAGAAGATTTAGATTACAGATCCTAAGCTATGCCTTTCCTTTGCAAATCACCGTATAAGTATTCAGTCTAGCTGAACTTTAGGGCAAATAATGGTCCTTACCAAGTCTTGGGCTTTCTTGGTGGGAGCCACCCCCCTCCCAGTGGATGATTTACGATAGAACAAAGGTTGTAAAAGTCAATGAATATTTGAGCGTTTTCGATGTGGTGGGCCTCATGCTGGCGAAAGATTATGGCTAGGGGCTATTTTGACTTCGGAACCATATAAATGTTGTACATAACCATAAAACAAAATGGAACAAAAATGGAAATGAAATGCAAAAACGAATTAAATCGTATACCAAGTTGTTGACATAGCCCCACAGAGAATGACTCCGTGGTATTAACAACACGATAAGGCGATAAGGCGATAAAGTGAGAACAAGACCGACTGCCAAAAATACCTTACATTGTTTTCAGTTATCAGTGTTAATGTTACTTGAGACTGAGGATAAAGTGAATAGGTAATTATGCTAATGTCATTAGGAATCAAGATCTTCAGTGTAAAAGGAAAAAGACCCAAATATAAAATTGAAGGAAGTAAAAGCCTGGTGGTCTTGCATTTGAACTGGAAATAGCAGCATAACCTCATGAATATTTTCCCCTTAAAAAAATATACATCCTAATTCTCTTCATGGGAAAGATCTAGAAGCAAGGAGCTGCACAAATGTCATTATTCTAAAAACCGGTAAAGAGAAAAAGTTGAAGATTTATCCTGCCTCTCTTGTACAGACTGAATTTCAAAGTAAACCAATAGCCGATGAGGGAAATTTATTTATAGAACACTTTCCACTAATAAAGAGGAACCAGAGAGTTTTAATACCCCTGTCCAGCGATCAAGGAGATCACGATCTAGCTGTTGCCAAACTTGATAACGTAAGATCAAACTGAGAATAACCCGATCAATGCTGCCCTCCTTCCTGCCGCAACCCAGCGCCTGCGGGATGTCCTCGCCTGCAAATCACAGGGCAATGCCGTCGAGTCTCTAGGTTTCCTACCGATGCGAGGAATGCGATGGGCAAAGTCAAAAGTAGTGAAAACCGTACAGGAGACAGGACCTAGGTGCCTTGAATAAACAAATGGCAAGAAGAGAAGAGAAGAGGAGAAGAGAAGAAAAAAGAAGAAAGAAAAAAGAGGACACAGAACCGTCCTATGTTAAGAGGCTCAGCCAAAGGCAACCTGCTGATCCTGGCTATAAAACTAAAAAGCTGCAACCAAAAAAAAAAAAAAAAAAGAAGGCATTTATCAGATATTTTGGGCAATTTAAACACTGACGAGATGTTTGGTGATATTAAAGAATTGTTCCTGTGCGCCGATGGTATTAAAGTAATTTACCAAGAGTCCTTATCGTTTACAGATACTGAAGTTTGTGTGGTTGAGAGGATATGATATCCGGGAGCGCTTTAAAATAATCTGGTACTGGTGGTGGCTGCCCTGGGGGCGTTTGCAGGACGCGCCTGAAGGAAACAACATGACTGCGAGCTGGTAGCTGTGCCGGCTGCTGGCGCCCACATAGGGGTTCACTGTACTCTTCTCTCTACTCTTGTGGATGTTTGAAAATTTCTCACTGTGGAAAGAGCAGTATAGATGCCAGACATTAGTGATCACATACGAAACAATTATCTTTAGTCGGTTTAACAAAATCCACATTCCACCTTTCGGTATTTACTGCAACATATTGAAGCTACGGAGGGATTTGCTCATGTCGGGCCATCACAAACATTTGTGAACATTCATTCGTTTCACAATATGTATTGAACACCTATAACCCAGGCACTGAAGTTACAGGGGTCAGGGACATCATGGCTGTCATGGAGCTTGTGGTCTAAGAGGGAGGACAGTTATCAAATGGATAAATTACACACATAATTATACATATAACGAATGCATTTCCATTGTAAAGAAGTGTCATGGAGGGCTGAGGGGCTGGAGGTGGTCAGGAAAGGCTGAGAAAACCCTTTCAAAAGCGATCTGACCACTGAGTTGGCTAACTAACCAGTGGAGGTCGGGGAGGAGAAGGGTGTGCCCGGCACAGTTCCAGGTCAAAGACGCTTTTGAGAAATGGAAACAAGATTGGCAATAGGTCATCATGGTCCTTTCAGACTCCTCGAGAACTTATAACATTTGTCCTAGGAAAAATGAGACACCAAAAAAGGATTTTAACATTAGCTTTGCATTTTATAAATATGGAAGATAAGATATACCTGCTCAAGACAGGACCCCAAGGGAAGTTAATTGAAAGAAGTGCCATAGTGTTTTCATGAAAGCATGGGTTTCCTGGGAAAATCCACTGTAAGATGTGAGAATAATGGTGGATATAATCATCTCTTTTTATCGGCCAATGTAGAAATGTGAAAAAATGGATTCCGAATCTTCCCTCTTGAAATATGGGTGTGCTCAAGCTGAGAGAATGTAAGCATGAGATGCTGGGGCCACCAGATCTGTGTTTCAGGCTTGGTGCTGCCTTTGACCTGTTCTGCGCGGCCTGACAAGTGCAGAGGCAAAGCTTTCCTTTCGTCTGCGGGTTGCATCTCCCTGGGCTGGCTTTTTCACCAGACCACAGATGGTATCACATAGCAAATCCTTCTACATCTGGCTTTGTTCTCTCATCACGCAGACGGTGGCTAATTAGCCTGAAGTTACTGTCAATAACTTTCTGTGGCTAATGCCCAAACAGAAGTGGCCTTTGGAAAGCTAAGAACAGGCTTAGGGAGAGCCAGCCTAGCACATGGACTCTGGAAGCTGTCATCTGCTCTCAAATTCTGGCTCAACCACTTAGTAGCTGTGTGACCTTGGGCAAGTTGCCTAACCTCTCTGTGTCTGGGTTTCTTCATCCTTAAAAGGAGCATAAGGGCAATATTCATCTAATAGGGCTGTTACGTAGCTTATATAGATTAATATTTGCCAAGCACTTAGAAGACTGCCTGACCCATCCAAGCATTGTACTAGAATTTGGTAAATATGCAAATCTTTTAACCGCTTGCTGTCCTCATTAATAAAGCAACTTTTAAAAACTTCTATTTCTAGGTATGCTTTGAGTATGAATCAGCTGGATCCTCAGCTGATTTAAGGGGTGACTACTATCTTTATAGTCAATAGTTAACTACCATTTGGGGGCCACCAAGTGCTACTAAATAAAGGGACAGAATCCATATCACTGGAGAACTTGGCCAAAGTCGTTTATTAAATAACCAGACCAAAGGTTGACTGTCCAGTGGCAGGTGAGGACAGTGGTGGCTGCTCAGCTTGCTGCTTCTTTCTGTGTTAAGTTCTCCACTCACAGAAATCCACCAGGCTTCATCAGCTGTCTGCATAACTGGCTTAACAGTTGATAAATCTTGGCAATCTTAATAAACTTGCCAACTTCTACGAAACTAAAATCGAGATTGACCAAACACACACAAGGTAGGGGCAATCACAGATTTTACCAGATAGCTATAATAGGTTTCTCTCATAAAGCGTTTTCTCATCATTTTATAACTAGCATTTTTTATTATAACAGAAAAATGTTCTATGTAGAAATTCTGGAAACTAAAGATAAACCAAAATTTAAAAGCGAAAATATCCTATAACCATACAGCCCACATAAACTCATTAATAAGACAGTATGTTACATCTCAGAGATATATTTTTGCTACATGTGTATGCATTTAAAAATGAGACCAGAAGCTACCTTATATTTTTGTAACCCTCTCCCACAGGTGATTAAATATTTTTAACCAACTGATTTTTAACTCCTAATATTTCATTGTAGTTATGACTCATTCAATCAATCCTTTTGATACACACACGGTTAGATGGTTTTCCATTTTTGCACTTGTAAACCATATTCGATGAGCATATTTGTAGCTATCACCACATCCAAATTATTGCTATTAGTTTTTAGGATACATTTCTTGAGGCGACATTGCTGGTTCCACAGTATGCAAACATTTTAGATATCTGATTCATATTGCTACTTAAAGCCGTTTTCAAAAATCTACCTGGGGCCGAAAGAAAACATTATACCTATAAAAACTGGATTTCTAGATATTTTTAAGTTTTGTTGATTCTAAGGCTGGCGGTAAAGGGGCCAAAAAGTGGGACTTGGACAAAAAGTGAATGCTGTTGCAGGATCACCTGCTTCCAAGACACGCTGACAGGCAACACAGTGCCTGCACACCCTTGGCCCACACACCGTCGCTGCGCGTGCCCCAGCACAATCCTGACCTTAGCCATGGATTTCTTATTCTCTCCATTCGGGCATTTGCTCCTCTCACCCCGGTGATCCTCAGTGGGAGCAGAGTTGGCCCCTAAAACTCACGATGGGTATTTCTGTGGGTGGGGATTTACTGTCACGATGGTGGGGGTACTTTTGAAATTAGATGCCTGATACCCCATGCAATGAAAACGTTTTTTATTTCTCACATGACTTTCAAATGTTTCTCTGGACCTTCAGATAGGAGAAAAACCTTCATCTAAAACCTGTATATGATATCTGGATGTAGACCTTAACTCCATTTTAATGGGAAATAAAAAATCGTTTTTGAATGGATTTCCCAGAAATACAAAGGTATTTACTCAGTAAACTGAGGAAAGACTGTGTTAATCATTTATTTTGTTCTAGGCTTTTCCAAGACTTGTTTACCACAGGAAAATTTTATCATCAATGGCAATGCCGCTAATGGTATCTGAGTCACTGATTTAATGCCACAGTGCGTGACCGCGATTCTACCTCGTTCAGGTGCAAACATCCGACCAATTCATTGTGGTTCTAATGTGGCCCTGTCCTAGCAGACATGCTGAGTCATACACATTACTTTTGCTTTCATTACTTCCTTACATGACAGCGTTTCTTAAAAAATCTAAAAATTATGCGTGTGGGTAGGTAATGTTATCTATGAATCGCATTTTAGGATTGTAAAGAGAGCGTTTACACATATTTGCGATAAAAAAGAGCAATGGGCTGTGATCGGATTGAGAGCGACTTGCTGGCAGCCCCTGGTGGCACACTCCAGCGTCGCTTTGCTCAGTTGGGGGTTCTTGGGCTTAAAAGCTTGTTGGCTCTGAAACCGGTAACAAATGATCCTTGTTACAAGACTCAAAACACAAAACTCCCTGAGCTGTCCTTGGCCACCTCTCTCCCTGGCCACACAGCTACTATTCCCTAAAGTGAATTCTGGCCATTTCTGGGGAAGGAGGGGCGGCGTGCCGGTGGCTGAGCAGCGGGAATGGAGAAAATAGCAGGGCCAAGGGAAAGAACGCCAGCCCTACATATCTGTTCACAGCTGGAAAACTCAAGCAAAGATGAGTGTCACGCCACATCCCATTATTTGTTGATCTTACCGCTGGTGTCTCTCAGCACTTACCCTCCATTCACAGCAAGGTTCAGCCTGTACTGTCCCCCCACCCCGCCCCCGCCCAAAGTGGTGCTGCTCCAATGGAGCGCGTCACCTCACAGGCGGGGCTGGCGGGTGCCGCTCGGCTCCGGGGTCTGACCCCCTACTCCCCAGGCCTGGGCGGACCCCTTTCCCTTTCCCGCCAGCTCCCAGGTAACGCTGCTGCGGCTTGTTTGAGGATCGGCTCAAGGTCCGCCTTAAAGTCTCGTCTGGAACGGGCGATATTTATCAGCCTCATATCATGAGACCACGAGACTTTGCTCAGTTTCCAAAGCGCCCGCATTTTAAGGAATTTTGCAGTTTTCTAAGGCAATAGAGCCCAGTGCAGGACGACCTCGTGGAAAGTGCCCCCGTGAATCCTTTCCCGGGGGCGGAGTCATCAGTGATTACTCCCCACACGATAGCATTCCCCCCGAAGGAGCCTTTACTGAAACACTACGGTAATTGGGGAAAGCTATATCCATCCAGCTCTTGGCAGCTCTGGGACCTCGGCTGTAAAAGAACAGTGGCTCTCAGCAGCCTAAGTCGTCGGTGTCTTTTCAGAGACGGGAACTAGATTTTCCGATGGCCAGAGGACTTTGATATTTGTCATTTCTCTTGGACTCATTCCTGGCTATCGTTTTGAAATGAAAATCCTCCTGGGATTTCTCAAAACTGAATAAATGAGAGAGAAAAAGAAAGTGACATGAAGATAATAAGAGAAAAGAGAGAGAGAAAGGGGGG